CACTGATTATTTTATGGGCTGAAACTTGAAACTAACTTTTGCTGGCAATAAAGCTGTCGCGAAATATCCAAGAATTTTAAGGCTTGCAGGGTAACGCTATTGTATACCGCGATATTTTTCAACTCCTACGACGGACACGAGTGATAACTTGTTTTTTTTTTTATCATGACATTTGCACGTTGTGTGGAAAGAAATTTACTCATAGCCCATAGCTCGTTAATATTCCCATCAATAGTATTCCATAATTGTCATTACATTTTCATCAATATTCAATATTCAAAAAACAAATACACCAGTATCAAATATAATTCGTATTTAATTCATGAAATACGAGCGATTATAGGGTGTTGCAATCATTCAGATCAGATATTCGAAAATAAATATTTTTCTCTTAACCAACGTCTGGTGGAGTTCCATTGCATTTTCCTTTCTCACATCACTCCACAGAAAATTCCACGATTACGGTACCTAGAGATTATGAGACATCACATCAACTCGACTGAACATTGATTTTACCGTGCGAGGGATTTTCCCACTTGACAATGCGGAAATGACATCTCAGAACGTATCAGAATATTTGATGATGAAATAAACGATCGGACACTCTCTTTGATGTTGAATCCAGTAATGCAATAAATTTTGACAGACTGAGAATCAGAAATGCAGTATGACATCGGTTAAACCGCTTATTACGAATGGAAAATCAAATGATGAATTGTAAAACGACTGGAAGTAATGTTAGCGGATCCATAGAAGCATCCTATCCAAGGATCTTTCTAGGACGATTACCCTGCCTTGATCAATGTTATACAATCCATCAGTTTACAGTTACGCGAGCTAAACGAGTCCAGTGCAGTTGGCAATCGATAACGCGAGATAACAAGCCCTCGACGGCATTGGCTCTGGAATGAGACATTTTCAAGATATTGCCCCTTGTCAACGCCAGGCGTACAGTTCAATTTGTCTTAACTCAATGGAGATACGCGGCCCGATCTCATCTTGAGTATAAAATGATGAACTCCAACGAGAAATTAAAAAAAAAAAATGAATAATAACAAAAATAGAGCGCCGAAGAGAGGAATAAAAAACAACTAAATTCGCAACAAACTAGTCCGAGATGACTACACTCTTGGCTGTCGAATGTTTACGACGAGAAGAAGACTGGATCCCAGGAGACAGCTGTCCGACAGTATTCCATGTTTATCGAGCAGGGTATAGCCTAATGGTGTCGTGAGATTTGCCGTCTGTCCTTCTCCGATGATGACGCCTGGTTATGCTAATTATATTCAATCCGATCGTCTACCTGGTTGAAAATTTACACCAAGCGTTGTACACTCTCAAGATTACTCCAAGAAATTACCTTAATTCCTCATAATTTCTTAAACTTCAGCTGCTCATGCCAAAAATTTCTTCAATGTTAATCTTTATAATGCTTCTTACTCGCGAAATCTACGATTTGTCGTGTGAAATTTACTGATCAATTTACAACATGTGTTACCACGATGCTGTTAAGAATTTACTAAATGAGGGTTGTTAGTGGGATTATGGAAGTGCATACGAGTAGCTACTAAGGATTACGAATAGCTTGGCAATATGTTGCCACCGGGTCTTGTTTTTACCGCCATTTCCAGTCGATGCCAAAAATAACGGTATGAATACCGACAGGTGTGTGGTATTTGTTTGAATCCGGACGATTTTTCTCGATATCATTTTCGATGTACGAAATGGCGTATGAAATGGCGAAATCGCGGTATCACCTCCTGATAAAATCAAATTCACAAAATTTAGTATAATCCCATGGAATCATGTGAAATCGGATGAAATTATGAGATCTAATTGATGTGTAATTGCATATGAAATCATACGAGATGGAATCTGTAGGTTCGATACTGTAAATTATTCTCCAGAAATTTAAAATGGCGGTATGAATTTCTGAGTGAGTAACCCCTCGAATCAATGAGTACTATTCGTAAGTACAAACTGCACAATTGATTCATAAATTGAGTCGAGTAAGAGAGAAGGGGAATGGATGAACAGTATTGAAGAGGGCTACTGGTTGGTGAACGGGATTTCTTCAGCGAGGTAGATCATGATGGATGGGCTTGGTGCTCGCCTCTTTACGCTGCTAACGTGTCCTTCCGTATCCTGCGGAAATACATTCCCAGGGGATGATCAATTAAGACAGACTTGTCAATTTGTCGAGTAAATAATGAAGCAGGGTTGAACACTCGGGCTGGATTAATATTGAGATGGTGAAACAGCGTGGTGATTTCTTTTTGGGATGTAAATTTGAAGTTGAAGGGGACATGAAAAAGTTGCGGTGTGTAATACACTGGGTTTGAGAGTGTAAACAACGGAGGGGACAGGAGGATGAATTTAACGATGCCTCGAAAAAGACTTGTTGGGTTCATTGAACCTTATGTTGCACGGGGGGCTGCCGGTTGAATGCTGCAACTGGCGTTTCAGCGAAGGCAAAACCAGCAGCCAGTCCCTTGAATCCTTAAGACCTGGTTGTGTTATTCATCGGTGGTTGCACTCCACCATTTCTCCATTCGTTAACATTCTTTTTCGATCGAATGGATATTTCGGTGGTAAAATCGACAGACGGTGAAATTTATTGGACAAAATATGAAAACCGGAGAATGACGGTAATGACAGCGCCCTACAAGTTGAGCAAATAATTTTTCAATTTCACAATTCCAACTTAAATTGCAGATGGTTTGAGATACGATAACGTGAGATCCTTGGATTTCAATTAACATGGGGTCGAGGCTACGCTCAGGATAAAGCTTTTTGCTTCGTCTTTTATCAACTAATTATAGAACTACCGGTGGATGAAGGGAGAGAGAGAATAAAAATCGAGAGGAATAAGAAAAGGAGGAGGATGACCAGAATGAAGCGGGAGAGGAAGATCATGAAATTCAAAGTTCATGGAGTTGTCTCATACAATGAATAAACTTGATAATTGGTGGAATGCAGTGGTGTACACTGGGTTTAAATTTACTTGAGAGTCCAACGAGAAGCATGTTATTTTCTAACGTACTTGCCTCTTAGTTCCATCCTCTACAAGGCCCATGAGCATTTACACCCGGTACTTTCCTAGCCACTAGCCAATGAATTATGCAACCATTGCAGGATACAAATATGAAAACAATGGGTTTACCTGGCGAGCTGATAATTTCAAATGCTGTCCTCATCGCAGGACACTTGGAGAACATTCGAGTGTTGCTTCTATGAAATAACTATGAAATAGTTATGGAATAGTTGCATGATGAATTTCTCCACTCTGTCACCGACGTGAGTGGCTGAATTCATAAATCATTCAGAGACGATTGAAGAGGCAGAGAATTTTGCATGGGCGTGTCAGTATCATAAACTTTAAAATACGATAACCTAGGGCAGACAGTTTAATTGCTACGTACTTGGTTGGGGTTGAAGGCAGCATTGATAAATTATACCTTCGATCCATTGACTCTTCATAGCATCCCATTTTTTTTTTTTCAACTAGTAAATCACTTTTTTATGAGTTAAATCCAACTGCTCGTGTCCTAGCGCAATTCAAGTAAATTTTCTCATCTTATGGATGTTTGTTTCGAGTCATTAAGACTGAGAACTCCATTTAGGGTCTCATATAGCACAAGAAATGACACTAGGCAGAGTATACCATCGTATTAATACGCGAAGCAAAATGAGTATCGTGTTCAAAGCGACAATCATGGAGGTGGTGGGTACTCATCTACCCATTTATTAATAACGCCCGCCGCTATTTCTTCATGGTTTTTTTTTTCTTTTCTTTTTTTCTAATATCCCCGTGGCCGTGACGTGAAGGTTAATAACCATTGTGAGCTGAGCATCACGGGATTCGCTTGTCTTCTACCACTCAACCCGCTGGTGAAATACCTTTGTAATGATGGAGATGACCTACGACTCGATGACGTAACAACTTCCTTCAGGCTCTCGATAAATCCCTTCGTGCTGGAGGAGTCGTCGATGCTGGAAAAATTGCTGAATTTGTCAGAAGGTTACGCGAGGCGAGAAGGAAAATAAATCTTCCAAGTGTCGATTAAAACAGATTGAATTTTTCCACTGGTTGCTTTAGTATTTTTCTCTTTGGGACAATAAATAGTTAATTCAGTTCAAAGCAATCTGTGAGCCTTGGAAAGAATGATTTTCAGTCCAGAGGACGAAAGGGGGAAACTTGTCCATTGGTAACGAAATTATTTCAGAGTGCAATGGGCTGTAGACAGGAACTGATCAGGATGCAGATCAGTTCGTAGTCTTATGGTTCGGCACAAAATAATTCGTATAGAGTGGAAAGTGGCTCAAGAATATAAAAAAATATTACTATTAATTCAAATGAGAGTTGCTGAAAGAAATGTCGATTGATATAGTTAATTATTCCTTTGCTAAGTCGATTCATCTTCTGGATTCTCCTGGCGCTTTCATCATTGTGTAATTACGTCTTAAATAAACTTTAACAGTTGTTCACAAAACCTCTTCGTCTCTGTATCTCATTATTCGTAAAGTTATTAGCGACTTATGATTTTCTTGTGCAGTTCTGAAGGAATTAACTGCATGCACGAATCTTCGAAACGAACAGTAAACTCTTAGACTGTACTTGGCCTCTGGGTACTGATGCAACAAACGTCAGTGATAATTAAGACGACTCAAAAAAGAGGTAAGGAATTCCGAAAGAGGCCAATTTACTCCATTACTGCAAGTTAAGTGAACAATATGTAATGATGGCAGTAGACGTCTTGTCTTTTTTAAACCAAAACTTTTTGCTTCGATCTAATCAAACAAAAAGACTGATGATTAGATATTCCACAAATTTTGTTAAAAATAAAATAGGTAGCAAAACAGCAAATAATTGGAAATAGCGAGAAAAATGAGTGTCAGAACCTACGCTAATTTGTCTTCAACTTCGATTATTCATTTGACAACACTTTAGATAAAGATTCCGGAACTATAAATATCGAGACTTGCCAGGGGAAAATCAGATATAGCGATTGGTCAGGTACAACTGTTGAGCCTTCTACCTCCGAGGAATGACAAGTATAATGGTGATTCTGTGCCGATTTTTCTCCTTTTCTCTGATCTGGGGATTAGCTAAGTCGCAAGGTTGGCAAATAATCCGATTGCAAAATCAATAGTAAAGCATAAAAAATATTTTTTTGAAAAATTGCAGAGTTTTCGTACAAAGATACTACAACATGGGGCCAGAATTACCCAACTTGCAATGGTAACAACCAATCACCTGTTGACATTCCATGGGGATTTGGCGAAACAGTGATCATACAGCCTGGAGAGCTCCAGTGGATTAACTATGGGAATATTCCTGATTCTATGAGGATCGTTAACAATGGTCATACAGGTAGATATTTGGATAGTTTTTCATTCAGGAAATATGATGACTTTTTATTGTAGTTCAAATTTATCCTACGTGGGTGAATGCTTCCGACCGGCCATATTTAACTGGAGGACCCCTAGGGGGTCAATATGTCATAGAACAATTTCATTTCCATTGGGGACAGAATGACAGTGTTGGAAGTGAACACACATTCAGAGGCCGAAGGTAAGGAGTTCGAAATAGTAATTATCATTTGTCCAGAGAAGTTGGTATTGAATTAGAAAATAAAATTTAATAGAAAATGCCAGTAAATTTAATCTTGTAATAAGTCGTTAATCACATATAGAACAGCAATGGAGTTCCACATGGTTCACTGGAAAAGTGAATACGGTACCTTCGAAGCTGCGGCAAGTCAAGCTGACGGATTTGCAGTGATTGGAGCCCTTTATGATGTATGTAATAAATATCTCCCTGAGATAGTTCAAGTACAAATTTATGACATTTATTTATTTACGGTTACTTGGGTTTCAGCCAATCTTCGGTAAATCCTCGAGAGGGATTGAAGAGATCTGGAGGGAACTTGGGGGTCTCAGACAGCCCAATGATGCAATCCAGATTATACCATTTCCACTATCTGATTTTGAGGTGGTGAATTCCAGGGATACTTACGTGAGCTACTATGGATCATTAACTACACCTGGATGTAATGAAGTTGTTACTTGGCTGGTGGCTTTAGACTTGTTCTCCATTACAAGTGATGAGGTGATTTTATAATGGCCACATGACCTTTCATAATTTTTTTTTTTCAGCATATTTATGAATTTTTCGAAAATTTTATCCATTTTCGATTTACTTTCACAGCTACAGCAGATCAGGTCCGTTCAGCTTGGCCATGGTGATACTCATAATTACCGAGCCCTACAAAACTTGAATAATCGACAATTCACCTATTACCAATCAAAGTGAAACTTGAGTGATTATGTTATTCAGTGACTAGTGCAGAGGGAATCCGTAAGGGAAAAATCAATTCGATAATTGGCAAATTGGGTTGGAATGTCGGTCATTTTGTAATCAGACAAAAAATTTCGTCTCTGAAATACTTATGTATGTGTGGAACTAATAAAATTTGAGTTCAAGTGATATTAAATGAATTTTATTCCATCGGTCAATACTTTCCAAAAAGGATCAGGGGAGCATGAAAATCGAGGAGGTATTCACCGAAACTGAAAAATTCAAAATTTCTGGTAAAGTATCCGAAGTATTCGCTGAAATTTGAAAATTCGTAATTTTTGAAAAGGTATCAGGGGAGCATAAAAATCGAGGATGTATTCACTGAAATTTGAAAATTCGAAATTTTGGAAAAGGTATCAGGGGAGCATAAAAATCGAGGACGTATTCACTGAAATTCGAAAATTTGGAATTTTTAAAAAAGTATCAGGGGAGCATAAAAATCGAGGAGGTATTCACTGAAATTTAAAAATTCGAAATTTTCTTAAAAGCATCAGGGGAACATGAAAATCGATGCACTTAGATATTCAATTGACATAAAATTGTGAATTGCTTTCTTAGTTGTCAACATAATCTCGACTATATTCCATTTCAATTTATCAGTCAATGATAAGTTTATTGTGCAAATAATCCATTACTCATTATTGATAGATTCAATTAATAAGCAAATGAACCTCACGCGCGCGACGCTTTCTTTTCAATCAAAATAAAATGCGTATTCAATACCCGAGCGTTTGCGTAATTCGCTATTTAAACAATAAAATCCTAGTATTTTCAAACAACA